CCAAGTCTTGATATGAGATTTTTATCAACTTTATTTCACTTGTCAAATACATAACAAGTCTTTTCTCTTATTGACCAATCACGCGCCAGCTAGTATTTTCTCCTCCGCACAACCTTGGGTGTCCAAAATGTCTGCGCCCATGTATTTGTTTATGTAGGGGTTTTTCCTATAGAGTAAAAGAAACATTTATAAAAAGTGTTCAATTTAGTAAATTTAGAACACATATCCATTGCTTATCTCACCTCTTGAATATTGGGACTGACAGTCTTAGCTTAAGTACACCATTGGCTGTTACATTTCACACCCCAGTCAATCAGACGAACATCTGTGAAACAGAAAAGATGTCTATAAATTGAAGCATTTTTCTATTTTTCTTTCAAACTTTTAAAATAAAATGATTAATCTAGCATTTGTTTTGCTTGTTTTTCTTATTATATCTAATAATTTCTCAAGGTAGATCATGTTAATCATTCAGGGTAGCAGGTACCCGTTATTAATGAAAAATGAAGAAAATCAGCAGGTTTTTGTAAGAAAAAGCTGGGTTATGGAAAGAGTGAAAACTAATGTAGATAAAATAATCAATGGAAAGAAAGAGAATTATATCTAGTTCAAATGTACATAAGATTAAAACAAATTCTATCAGCAGTGGTTTGCTGGCATCAGAGAATCAAATACATCCCCACTGAAAATTTTGTAATTTTGAAGGGGGGTGACCTACATTTTAGCCAATTTTCATGAACATTTCATGTAATTGATGTTAAATATGTATATTCTCATAAAAGGCAAATATATCTATTTGCATATCATTTCTTATTATTGACATAATTAATAAATTGATTAAATGCCAAGGGCAGACAAATCATATTGTCTGACTGAATACAGTGCTCCATTGTACGCAAAGTATTTAAATAACTGCAGTTCTGAGGAAATTTATTTTCTGATAATCTATAAAAAGTTTTAAATAACTTAAATATTGAGAGATTAACTAGATTTTCTAAGAAAACCATACCTTGGAACTCTCAATGAAAGCAAAGGGATCATCCCGAGAGTGTCAATGTGTTGTTCATTGTAAGAGGGTATGGTTCATTAATCTCTTCCTTCTTGATAATGCATTGCTGAAATACATTTTATTTTTTAAAAACATACTGATAAATGCATCTAGTAGCTTATATAATAATTCTTTATTATTTACACCATCTTTTGAATTTTTTCAAAGCATTTGTGATGTAATACCTTTAAAATAATCATGTTAAAATAGAATTTACTCAGATAATTAGTTTTAAAAATATCAAAGAAATTGAAAAAAAATACATGCACATAAACATGACTCTTGTTATTCAAATAAACCAAATTTAAACAAAATTCCTTCATTTTTCAGCATGATTAGAGCACAAAATCACCCCCCCCCCCTTTTCAGCAGAATATCAAGATTGGATATGGCAAGGAGGAGGGATATTGAGACACCTTTTTCATAATTTTTTTTAGTTATAATTTTGCATATTTATTGAATTTTCAATGTATTTTCTGCAAAAATATATTGTACTGTAATTTCAATTAATTTTCCTACAAGTAATCTCTAAGTTTCACAAAAAATATAACTTTTATTTCAAGCCAGCACTGATTACATGACTGAAACTGGCTTTTCTGCTGGATTATGCCCCTTATGTAAAAACAAAGTAACCCAATTAGTTAACAGCAGTCAAATTTTGTTATAAATTATTCAATCAACTCTGATTAACACAAATTTGAAAGAGGATTACTCAATCTGTTCCAATGTCTACACTCAAAATACGTGGATTTAAATGAATTTCTCAAACTGCGAGGGGGATATTGATTTGTTTTGTGTATTGATGATGCCCATAAATATTGATATTGTATTATTTACAATATTCACAGTAAATTTCGGTATAAATATCTATTTAAAATTATTTACATGAACATTTATTGAAAATATGAGAGCTAGGGCAAAAAATTTGGCATTTTTTCACTATGTGCAGTCCCCATTGTGAGCCTCAATTTACCCAAACCCTCTAATTTTTAAACAAATAGTCAAAACTCACTAAAATATAATCCCAATGCCAAAAAAATAGGAGCTGATTCATTTTTTGGCTGAAATCAATTTTTATCCATGAAATTATACCTATTCTATAGGACAAACACCACCAAATGTTTTCCCATAGACTTCCATACAAACTTTAGCCCCTCTCACTGATACATGTATTGAATTTCGGGCAAATGACCTTTTTGTCGCGAAAGTTCGAGATATTGGAAAACAAAAAATGTCAGAAAAAATATACCGTGCCGTTGCACTTTTACTTTCAATTTCCATTTGTTTACAACTAGGTGCGTTTGACACCAAATGAAAATCTCTAACCAAAGTGCATCCCTCCCTTCAAATTTTTACCTGTGATTCCTATATACCCCAAAGAAACCCAAGTCTTGATATGAGATTTTTATCAACTTTATTTCACTTGTCAAATACATAACAAGTCTTTTCTCTTATTGACCAATCACGCGCCAGCTAGTATTTTCTCCTCCGCACAACCTTGGGTGTCCAAAATGTCTGCGCCCATGTATTTGTTTATGTAGGGGTTTTTCCATTAATATTCCTTCACTTAGGGCAGTTATATTAGTTTAAGAGTTGTTGTAATTTGTGCCTTATAAATAAAATTAATTTCATCACAACATGTATTGGTAACGATCCTCTAAAAACTAATGTCCAAATAACTGTATCTCACTTCCATTCTCAATGACCGTGTTGTGTAGGGCAGCGTTGTGAGAATTCCATCGGTATCGAAAGCAAGTTTTTTAACTTGCCTAGATAGCCGAGGGGTCTAACGCGCTGTTCCTGCATTGCTAGGAGACAGATTCCGTAGGTCGAGAGTTCAACCCCGGGCTGGGGAGGAAGTGAGTATCCTTGTAAAAGTGAATTTCTCGGTGCTTTCTATATTAATATTCCTTCACTTAGGGCAGTTATATTAGTTTAAGAGTTGTTGTAATTTGTGCCTTATAAATAAAATTAATTTCATCACAACATGTATTGGTAACGATCCTCTAAAAACTAATGTCCAAATAACTGTATCTCACTTCCATTCTCAATGACCGTGTAGTGAAGGGCAGCGTTGTGAGAATTCCATCGGTATCGAAAGCAAGTTTTTTAACTTGCCTAGATAGCCGAGCTGTCTAACGCGCTGTTCCTGCACTGCTAGGAGACAGATTCCGTAGGTCGAGAGTTCAACCCCGGGCTGGGGCGGAAGTGAGTATCTTTGTAAAAGTGAAATTCTCGGTGCTTTCTATATATATATATATATATATATATATATATATATATATATATATATATGGTTTACACATTTAATTCTGTATTTCATTGTATAGGTATGTGAAAAAAAAGCTTCAAATATGATTCGAACTCTCTCTTTCCATAGCGCAGAGCTTGAAACAAGACCGACCGCGTTAACCACTACGCTACGCAGTTGATGCATTGTCGATATCTGTCAGCGATTGTCATATAGAATGGGTTCAGATTCCATTTTTTGACAAATGAAATAGAATTTACATTTACGTTTCTATCAATTAAGCGTTAACGAAAAATGGAGGCATGACCCATTCATGTTAAAAATTCATTTTTTATAGCCCCAGTAAACCCATTTTCCACTAAATATGCTTTACTGTCAACTTTGAAAAAAAGATTGTCAAATGATAGGTCGTTCAGTAAAATAAAACAATAAAATGTTTTGAAGATGACATTAACGAGAACATGATTTTAGAAATATATAACTTTTTCGTGAATTTGGAAAATTGAGAAATATTTTGTGTCAGTGCAGGAGATTGTCCACGCCTTATACGCACTCTTTCTTTATCTTGCATGTAACATGTGTAAAGGGCAGGAATATGCCACCATACTATCGACAATTTAAACGTTCAAGTATAAGAGAAGGTTATAAATAACAGCAAATGAAAAAGATTAAATTTTTTGGAACCTTCTGGTTGTGTTCAGGTAAAGAAACATGTAGTTTAGGCTGTAGCAAATGCTTTATATCCTTTTGTTGCTTATATTCTTTATGCTTGTCCTTTCCTTTGTTCGTAAGAATTTATGTCACCTTATTTAATGCAATTTGATGATTTATATCTATTGATTATTGAAATTTAAAACGAAAGTAGACCAGGTTTTTACGTCGATCATATCTACTTTGTTTTCCAGTGGCTCATTGTAAATTAGTTTTGCAAACTAAACACTGAATATTTATAGATAATTATTTACTGATTATATAGGGAAGGTCCAACCCCACCCCACCCCACCCCCTCCTCTCGCACCTAATATTACTTTTGAGTATCAGTTAGGTTTTGGTTTATTTATGTAGTCTTTTATCTTATCGTTACCACCACCACAACTAGTTCCACTTTGAAATACGTGAACTTCTCTTGCATACACGCATAAATACATAATTTTATTCTGTGTATCTTATCAAAGATTTAATTGCCCCTTTTCGAAAAGAAAACAAAGCACATTTGTGAATCAAGAGGGGGTTACATCTAGTACAGGGGATTGGAATCCCCTTTATTTTTGTATACGCACACACACAGAGAGAGAGAGAGAGAGAGAGAGAGAGAGAGAGAGAGAGAGAGACATTGAACTTAATCGAAACCTCTCTTTAATTTTTTTCGTCGCCCGTGTGTCGCAGTGGTTAGAGCGTATGCTCTAGAATTGCGAAGTAAGGAGTTGATCCAAACATCGCGGGTTCGAATCCCACTGTGGCATGTGTGGGACGTGGAGACAGATCCTTTGGATTAAACCGTGAAAATCGAGGTTCCGTGTCGCAGTAGGTGCTGCTCCCTCCCTTCCTGCTCAATGGCCCTGAGAGCCGAGTATAGAACATAATTTGCATCTCTCCACCGGCAAGTGGTTCCGTCTCCATATGAATAAACAATTCTCGAGAGGAACTTTAAACAATATACAATCTAATCAAACAATAATTTTATTTTCAGGATACATCACAATGGCCCGCTCACAAGCCCAGGACGTCATTCGATGTCAATACTGCGAGGACGATCCCGCTGTCTTCCACTGTGTTCCGTGTGGAGATGAACTCTGTCCTCGATGTAAAATCTTCCATCTTAAAAGTAAAGTTCCCTCTGGGCACAACATCATCCGTCTGTCTGAGAGACTTCATCCAACCAATCAGATCAAAATGTGTGACATACACCCAACTAAAGCGTACGAAGCTTGTTGTAAAGATTGCCAAGTCCCAGTGTGTATTACATGCATTCAGGAAGTACACAGCGAACACGCCATCGGGAAGATACAAGAACTTTTCGAGAAACAAAAGGCTGAAACTGAAGGCGAATTATCTAAAATGAAAGGCCAATTCAAGTCAGAGATCATTCAAAGAATAAAAGATTTCAAAAAGGGAGAACATGAAATAAAGAGAGGCCATGAGAACGTACGAGAGAAAATGAAGAAACAAGCTCAGGATCTGATAGATCATATCAGAGTCATTTTGAAAGAAGCCTTGGAGGAATCTGAAAAGGATGAGAGAAAAAATAGCGAGGAAATATCCCAAAATACAGCGGAGGCTGAGAGATTTGAACAAAACTTGGATCAACTGATAGAGAAGTTTGAAACTCTCACAGAGTCAAGTCATCCCGTCGACCTTATATTGTACCGAAAACACAATCCTGACAAATTTAACCAACTGAAACTTCCAGACAAACTTGACATTGTTATGCCTTCTTTTACAGTTGGTCAGATCAACAAATCTCAAAATGAGCATCAATTTGGTAAGTTCACGACAGGAAAGGTTAACAATGTTAAATCTCTTGATGAAAAAACACAACCTATATTGCGATCTTTGTCTGCAAGGAGGAAAACACCAAGCAAAAAAGTACTGGAACATTCACTAAAAATAAGCGAGACGAAAACCTCAAAGAAAGAGTTATATCACGTGAGTTGTCGTGATGACAGATCAGCGTATATCAGTGGTGATGGTCCTGGCATACTACTGATAGACAGGTCAGGGACAGAGCTTGATAACATCAGTACTGAGAAAGTATCTGGTCTGGCTGTGATGAAGGACGGAAGTCTGATTTATTCTGACCACTACAATAAAGTTATCTACAGAGTGTCACTCAGTAAACAAAGAACAAAACTTATAAAAATCGAGTATAGTCCCGAAGGACTGTGTTGTACCAGGTCAGGTGATATCCTGGTCTGTATGGGTATATCAAATAAAGCAAGAGTGGTCAGGTACAGCAGCAGTGGGAGGAAGATTCAGAAATTTGAGACAGATCAGAACGGAAAGAGACTTTTTTTTGATCCACGGTTTGTCTGTGAGAATATCAATGACGATATCTGTGTTTCTGATTGGAATATGAGCAATAAAGTGGTCGTACTAAACAAGTCTGGACAACCTCGATTTAACTATGACGGGAGAGTACGGTCAAGTGCGATAAAAGGTGAGATCATGACGCGTGGTGTAGTCACTGATAGTCTTGGTCACATCCTCATAGCATTTTTCAACAATAACGCTGTACACCTGATCAGCCAGGACGGGGACTTCCTCTCTTTAATACTGACAGAGGATGACGGGATATCACGACTATACGGGATCTCTGTGGACACGCACGACAACTTGTGGTTGGTAGAACAAGAAAATGCCTGTGTCAAAGTATATCAGTATCTGTCATAACTTTGCCGCGTGATTAAAAAAAATTCAGTAGAATTTAAGATTTTAGTAGTATTCTATGTATTTAAAAATATTATTCAAAATATATTTTTATACAGTAATAAAAATGTTTTTATATTTACATGGTATGGAAAAGATTGTGCATGTACTAGTATTTTAATCGGGAATAAAAAAGCAATAATAATTGTGTAACAACATATTAGAACAAGAGGCCCATGGGCCTTATAGGTCACCTGAGTATCATGTAACAACTTTCCAACAATGGAATTGGTTTGCGTTTTAAATCAAAGGAAATGAAATTCAAGATTTTGAAAGAGGCACTATTGCTTATCATAACTATATACTTAGCTTGCTTACTTTGGTTTCTTAACACCCAGAGGTAGATCAGAGTAACAAAGAGAAAATGCATTTCCACTTGATAACCAGTTGTGCAGCCCACCCCATAGGAACCTCTGATCCTGCAGGCAAATATTTCAAAATTTTGGAAATTTTATTATAAATTTTATTCCATCATAAACTATTGATTAATACCAAAAAGCAGATTTCAAAGCATTTATTTATTTTCAGACTATGTAACCCCCAGCCTCCCCCAGTGCCCTGACACAGGGGCCCTGAAATTAACCATTTTGGAAAGAGACACCTTTCATCATCATTAATATTTACTTAGAACATTGGCATAATACCAAGCAGCAAAGGAAAAGGTTTTCGAAGAATTCATGCATTTTCACTATACAACCATTAGATCCTCGCCCTAACACCATAGCCCCTGACCCTGGGACCCTGAAATTCACAAATCCGGAAGAGGCATCCTTCCTCATCATAACTGTCCAAACGGAACAAAAAACCCCCCGCTTGGTTTTTCAGAAGTGCTTAATCATGAGTAATTTATTGATCTAAGAGAAGAGATAATTGCTAAAACATTTTTAGTGCAAATTGCTCATTATGTCTTTTATAAATGAAACGAAGGCGTAGCTTAATAAAAAAAATATACGAAATACGAAACGGACAAGACAAAAACTTTTTCTGTCAGTGACCTTGAACTTGCATAAATGACCTTGGTTCAAAGTCATGACACAACCTCTGGTCATAAGCAATTTTTGTGTGAAGTAGTAGATTCAAGTTTTTCCGTAATAAATAAATATATATGGACCGGACACAAATTATATAATTTTTCTTCCAGTGACCCTGGACTTCCCGAAATGACCTTGACCCAAGGTCATGACACACACTTAGGTCATGAGCAATCTTTGTGAGAAATGAGAACTTACCAAGTTTATCCATAAGAAAGATATGGACCAGACACGAATTATGAAATTTTTCTTCAAGTGACCCTGAACATCCCCAAATAACCTTGACCCAAGGTCATGACACACCCTTAGGTTAAGTGAACCTTTGTGTGAAATTAGAATCTACCAAATGTATCCATAAGAAAGATATGGACCGGAAACAAATTATGAAATTTTTCTTCCAGTGACCTTGAACTTCCCCAAATGACCTTGAGTCAAGGTCATGACACACCCTTAGGTTATGAGCAATCTTTGTGTGAAATTAGAACCTACCAAGTTTATCCATAAGAAAGATATGGACTGGGCACGAATTATGAACTTTGTCTTACAGTGACCTACAACTTCCTCAAATGACCTTGGTTCTAGGTCATGACACACCCTTATGTCATGGGAAATCTGTGTGGAGTAGTAGTTTCTAATGTTCCTCCGTAAGAAAGATATGGACCGAACACGTTTACACAGACACGTACAGCTAGACAGACGGACAGTCAGCTAGAAGGAAGGACGGATAAGGTGATTCTTATATACCCCCAAACTTCGTTTGCGGGGGGTATAACTTATGTACATAGTTCATTGGATTCATTCATTGTACAGAACAGAGAAGATGATTTTTAAAGAATTAATGTACATTTATATCTTCACAATATAATCAAGAGCACCACCCTAACCCCTGACCCTGAAGCCATAAAATTCACAATTTTGGAAGAGGCAATCTTATGCAACATAAATATGTACTTGCCTTGTTTATTTATTAAATATTCAGAGGCAAAGAAGATTTTCAAAGAATTTATGCATTTCACTATATAATTAATAGAGCCCCGCCCTAACACCAGAACCCCTAACTACGGGGCCATGAAATTCACAATTTTGGAAGAAGCAGCTTTATTAAACATAACTATGTATTTGGTTTGTTTATTAGATACACAGGAGCAAAGAAAAAGATTTTCAAAGAAATAATGCATTTTCACTAGCTATATAATCTATAAAGCCCAGCCCTAGCACTTTAGAACTCCTAACCCTGGGGCCATGAAATTCACAATTTATGAAGAAGCAGCCTTATTCAACATAACTATGTACACTATTTAATTTATTTAATGCCCAAGAGCAAAGAAGATTTTCAAAAAATAATGCATTTTCAATATATAATCTATATAACCCTAACCCTAGCACCTAAGAACCCCTTACCCTGGGGCCATGAAATTCACAATTTTAGAAGAGGCAGTCTTATTCGACATAATTAAGTACTTATTAAGTTTATTCAATGTCCAGAAGCAGAGAAGAAGATTTTCAAAGAAATAATGCATTTTCAGTAATCTATTAATTAATCTATTTAGCCCCGCTATACACTAGAATCCCTGACCCCAGGGCCATGAATTTCACAATTTTGATAGAGGACTCAATGCTGATTACAATTATGCAAACAGTTTGATTGCTTGATGTCCAGGAGTTAAGAAGAATTTTAAAAATTGCATTAATTTAGTTTTGGCCCCATCCCTCAGGCCCCAGGGGCGCAGGGACAATGAAATTCACAATTTTTATTTCCCTTTATCCATAGATGCTGTATGTCAAATTTGGTTAAAATTGGTTGAGTGGTTGCAAAGAAGAAGCTGAAAATGTTCAAAAGGTTAGGCACGACGCACAATGCGCGACGACGGACGAAAACGGATAATAAAAAGACTTAAAAAGAGACCGTATCTCATATACTTGTAAAATCAATACACTGTACATTAAGTTTCTTGTTGAGAAAAACAGGATTGATAACTACTATACACAGGTTGGGGGGAAACGTAAATTCCGCTATAATAGTGGTATCTCACTATTATAGTGAAATTACGCTATATTTCTTGCCGTAGATACCTTCAATTTCATCCGATACCATGCAAGGCGTTTGAACCGCAAGTCATGGTGGGAATTAAAATGATCAAAAACTGTCTTGCTTGCATGGTTTGAAATTTAATAAATTTCTACCGTTGCTTTTAATAATGCATTTTTTACATAACAACCGGAGATTATAGGGTATTTAAGCCTGTTTGAATCTCATTTATTCCTCATAAAGCGCACAAATTGATGCTCGTTACAATTGTCAAGTCGGACTGGAAAGGGTTTATGGAATTAAACAAGAAAAAGATTATTTCTGTCTGCATGGTTACGGGTATGGAGGCTCGTTATGGTAAACGTAAAGACCCAATATGGCAAACATAACAAGGGGCCCATGGGCCACATCGCTCACCTGAGTAACTTGGGTAATGCAGTTCTTTACCAGATTCCCCCTCTTGCTATATATATCATGCCCCACTACCCCCTTCTCTTTTATGATTTTAAAACTTTAGAATCTACACTACCCAAGGATGCTTCCATATAAATTTCAGCTATCCTGGCCCAGTGGTTCTTGAGAAGAAGATTTATAAAGATGTGTTCTATATATTTCTATGTAAAACTTGGATTCCCTTTTGGTGCCCCCACTCATCCTCCGGGGGTCATGATTTTAACAATTTAATATCTACACTACCCAAAGATGCTTCCATATAAGTTTCAGTTTTCCTGGCCCAGTGGTTCTTGAGAAGAAGATTTTTAAAGATTTGTTCTATATATTTCTATGTAAAATTTGGATTCCCTATTGTGGCCATACCCAACGCCCGGGGGTCATGATATGAACAATTTAATATCCACCCTAATCAAGGATGATTCCACAAAAGTTTCAGCTTTCCTGGCCCAGTAGTTCTTGAGAAGAAGATTTTTAAGTATTTGTTGTATATATTTCTATGTAAAACTTGGATTCCCTATTGTGGCCCTGTCCAAACGCTGGGGTTCATGATTTTAACAATCTAATATCTACACTACCCAAGGAAACTTCCACATTAGTTTTAGCTTTCCTGGCCAAGTGGTTCTTGAGAAGAAATTTTTTAAAGATTTGTTCTATATATTTCTATGTAAAACGTGGATTCCCCATTGTGGCCCCGCCCTACCCCGGGGGGTGATAATTTTGACAATTTAATATCTACACTACCTAAGGATGCTTCCACATAAGTTTCAGCTTTCCTGGCCCAGTGGTTCTTGAGAAGAAGATGTTTTAGTGACTCAACCCTATTTTTGTCTTTTCTTGATTATCTCCCTTTGTAAGGGGATTTGGCCCTTCATTTTAAGAATTTAAACGCCCCTTTACCTAAGGATGCTTTGTAGTAAGTTTGGTTAAAATTGGCCCATAGGTTCTTGAGAAGAAGTCGAAAATGTGAAAAGTTTACAGACGGACGGACAGACGGACGGACGACGGACAAAATGTGATCAGAAAAGCTCACTTGAACCTTCGGCTCAGGTGAGCCCAAATAGGGTATATCGATTAACTTGATTATATCTTCTTAACAAAATCAATTTATAGTAAATAATCCAAAATTACTCATAAAAACTATTTTTTTTTATTTCGGCTGGGTAATTGTTTATTTCTGAAAAAAGACTCAATCTACTTTGGTATCGGGAATATTTAACAAGAGTGCATGAAACCTTATTTAACACATGTTCAAATAATAATTAATTGACAATCATTTCAACTCCGCACAAACGCATCTTATTTGAGTTGCGTCAAGCGAAAAGGGACCTTCGTGACAAAATTTTCGAAAATCGATTTTTTACCGATTCTGAAAGAGCTTGTTTTTCTGAATATTTTGATACCGATTTTTTTGTTATTTACCTTTTGAATTCTAATTTAAATTCAAAATGAAG